TAATTTACTATTAATCATTATATTACAGCTATATCGATAATGATTCCTTGAAATTCTTTTGTATTATATTTGCTAATATATATTATATTTTCAGATTGAGATTAATATATTAGAATATATATAAAGAATTTATTAAATAGATTCTTAATAATCTTTTATTTATCTATAAGTTTATTCTAGGCAATAAAGCTTGAATATAATTTTTATATAAATAGGTTTTAAAGTTTGAATTATATGAAATAAACTATAACTTTATTGTTTATATGTTACGATGGGTAACAGAATGCCATGTGACAAGTGTCACGTGGTGGAGTCCCCAGGAGCCAGGGCTCCAAGGAGGTCCTTGGGAGCCAGGACTCCAAGAAACTCCAACCAACATCAGAGTACGAAGATCTATATAAGGGAATGGGTTTCATTACAATGTAGAGCTTCGTGCTCAAGATCAATCATTAGTTTCATACTATAGTTACGAGAATTGCAACCAGTTACAACCTTATTGAATTCCTACTTGAAGTCTAGTCTAAACCACCTCGAGAGATCTCTAGACACTTCCACGTGACCCTAGAGGCAGCTCCCGTAACAATTAACTAATAATCTTCCTTTTTATAAACAAAGTATTTCTTTTTTATATATAATTTAAATAAATATTAATTACTTTATTTGAAATCTTTATTCTAATTATATCTATTTCAATTATAATAATATTTATAATTGATATAAAATGTTATAGTTTTGTTAGAATGAGCTTATTTCTATATTATAATAACTAAATATAACTCTTTTAAAAGATTTGAAGTGTTTTTAATAGAACGAAAATAAACTAGAGAATATACCTATACTAAAGCATATATAATAACAATCTTTTAATAAAGTAATTTTTCTATTTTTATTATAAAATTAAATCCTTTATATGCATAATAAAGTTTTATAAGTATAAATATATAAGTATTAAAATATTGTTTTTTTCTTATTATTTGATTTTATTATTATATTTTTAAATATAATGCTTTTCTATTATTATATAAGGTTATACTTATATTCTAAGCCTTCAAATATAGATACTATTAAATTATAAATCCTAGTTATTATATTAAATAAGTTATTTAGATTTGTATAATGAAAGTCGAATGTAATATTAATAAACATAATGAGAAATACTTTTTTTAATAATACTATAAATATATTGATATACTTATAATTATTAAAAAAGATTAAGAATTTGTAAGTAAAATTGTCATTTTGACCATTATATTTATCAGCTTTATTATAAAGTTTTATAAGATTACTTAAAAGCTAATTAATATTTATAGGTCTTTAAAAAGATAAATTATTTTAAATAATATTAATACCTCCTAAATCGTTTTCTTCTTTACTTTTATAATATTAATTCTAATTTAAAATTTTATTTTTTCTACCTTTATTATTTCCTTCTCCCTTATTTATATCGTTATTATTATCAAATAGATTATCAATTAATTATTTAGCTTGTCGTTATAAAACTATATTATTATTGAACTAATAGAATATTTGTGTCTTTATTAAAGTTGATCTTAATTATTCTTGATTAAGATTTCGAAGATTGAATTAAGAACATAATTATAATAATATTAGAATAATATTAATATTAAATCGTTAAGTAAATTAAATAGATATTGGTTTTATTAAATTATAATATTTTTTTCATAAATAATAAATTAATTGTAATTTCTTATTGAGAAAGATTGATAATATAATTTTAAATTATTAATGTTTACTATTATAATAATAATTTCAATAAAAAAGAAATATATAATTCGTACTTCTTGTCACGGATCGGCCCCAATTGCAACTGCGATCGCTCACGTGCACGATCACGTGTACATAGCTAGTATATAGGTGCGCTCCATGAGCGCTTTGCTCTCGATTCTATCGTTGTAGATTCTAAGGATAAATTGTACCCTGCTCTCGTAGTTCTTCTACGACAAAGTGTCACACTTCTCAATACTTTTACTCTTCTTATCATATTAATATAAATTAATGCTTAATAATCCAGATATAATACTTAAGAGTTACAAGAATCTATTTTGATTATAAATAATTAATCTGATTAAATCTTTTATTTTAATTATTTCGAAAATAGCTAGTAATATTTTCAATCTTTTTACAATTCTTTTAAATATATTTAGTAATTAAAACTAAAACCCTTTTTTAAAAAAATGTTTATAATTTCAGGATCTAATTATTATTAAAATATTATAAATTGTATATCAATTAATACCTTATCAATCATTTATTTTAAGTAAATGATATATTTTATAATGAATAGTTCATATATATAAAGTTTGTATTATAGCTTATATAATAATTGTATTTTAATAAACAAAAAATATTTTAATTTACAATTCTTGAAATTTATAGTATAATCTAATTATAACTTTTTATTGTAAAAATCATTGAATTTGTATTTATATAATTTGAATTTATAGAAATCTTATATTTCTCTTTTGTTTATATAATTAATATTGAAAGAATAATCTTCCCGTTTATTTATTATTAATTTATAATTATTAAATATAATTTTTAATGGAATTAGAAACTTAATAGCGAATTTGATGGATTTAATATTATTAAATTGTTTTAGAACTGGATACTCGACATTTTCGATATAATGTTCTTAAGATGTAAGAGAATCTGTAAATAATTCTGTTATATTTAATAAATAATAAGTAAATAATAAGATATTATCTTTATTAAGGTATAATAAAGTTTGAGTTTAAAAAGTATAATATTAAACTCGAACTAAATATTACTAATTGTTGGAAGTTGTGGCACGTGCTCTAAGCTACTGTGCATATATCACTTCCACTTCGTAGTTAGATTTTACCTTAGTACAATTAATCTACATAGTCAATAATACATGCATTCCACTGGCCTGCTCCTTTATTGTGAACACTAATTCTTATTCTTTAATATACATTATGATTATCACGGTATATATGTAATCGCATCCGATTAGACTAGTACGGCATTAAGCTTTAAGTCAATTGTATATATAGCTCTATAGTATATTCTCTTTAATTTTATAGCTTTTAATTCTAAAGTTAATCTTTAAACATTTATTAGGTTTATCATATTATTAAAAACTCTTTTAAATGAGAAATGAAATAATATTAATATATACTTATAAATAAAGCTTTTATATATACTCCGCTTACTTTTATTTAAATTATATTACTTCTACTTTCTTATCTATATACAAATCTATTTAATACTATTTGAAAATATTATCTCTTTTCTTACTTTTAATTTCTTAATTATAAATTACAATTCAATAAACCTTATAATTATAAAATTTTATAGCAAAATGATTTGTTAATAGAATAAAATCTTATTCTTATACTTCTTAATCCTCAAGTACATTTTTATTATTTAAATACATTTTCAATCGAAACCCTTTCTTTTTGATCCTAAAAAGTTTAATAACAACTTTTAGAAATTTGATATATAATTACTCTCGATTTAAATAAAATTATAAATAAATGATATTACAATTGGTAATTTTATTACTCAATTTTATTATATTTATTTCAATCTTAAATTTTATATATAAGTTATTATATCATTTCAGCTTTTTTCTCTTAATTAAAATGTTCTTTTAAATTATATAACAATCTTAAATCAATTTATATATATCTACAACAATCTAAATAAAATATAAAAAACTAAAGATAAGTTATTCAATCTTAAACAAAAAATCAATTTTTTATATACCTATATTATAAAGTTCGAAAGAATTCTTTACAAAATAAAAGACTAAAATTAATCCAATTCAAATAAAATCTTAATTTTTTATAATAAATTTAATATTACTCTTAAAAACCGTTTTTCTTAATAGTTTTCATTATCCCACTTATATTCCAACTTTATTCAGATTATATAATGATTAGCTATATATATAACAAATAAATTCTCTATATTATTCCACTCTAACAAATTTAAAGCTTTATATCTATTATAGAATCTATTTCACTCTCGAAATTATAATTTAATAAATATTAGTAATCTTAATATCCTTAATACCTTTAATAAACCCTTTGAACAAAGCTAATTATACCCTAATCCTACCCTATATTAAAACATCTGAGTTCTTTTTTATTAAAAGAATTCAATTATATAAGAAAAACAAATATATTTAATATAAAAGTGTTTTTTATTAAATACAAATCTGTCCATTTGATTTATATTAAAATACTTGAGATTGAAAAGAATTTATTTTAATTATTATATTTACTTTTACTAACTTCTATAATAATAATAATAATAAAAATCTAGGTGAAATAATTAATAATTAATATTTTAAACATTATTTAAAAAAAGTACAAGCTTTTATCAATACTTTTTATTTGGTAGTAATATATTTAATCTTTTAAAATATTTTATAAAAAATTAATAAAGAAAATGATTATAATAATAATGAAAAAAAGGTTTATTAATTATATTTTATATTTAAGTTATTTATTTAAAATAAGTTTAAAATAAACTTCTCAAAAGAGGGGGGTAATATTATAATATATATATAATTATATTTAATCGAGTTAATACAGTATTAAATTTCAAATTAATTGTATATATAGCTCTATAACACACTCTCTTTAATTCTATAGCTTTTAATTCTAAGATTGATCTTTAAACGTTTATTAGATTCGTTACAACAATAAAGAATAAAGTATAGATTAAAATTAATATAAAAGTTATTACTATATTATCAATTGTTTTTATTCATATAAAGACAAATATCAAATTATATTGAAATAATACAAGAGTTTATATCTCTTTAAAGAAATATTAATTTTAATCTAAATCACATATTACAATTTAAAATTAAGGTATTAAACTTCTAATCTATAATATCATTAATTGATATTAATATTATTATGAGGATAATGAAGTTAATATAGTATTATAGTTTGTATTATTATTATATTGCTTGAGGTTTCTAAAAGCTAGGATTATGAAATGTATTACTGTAGTGTCGGAAGACGCTAGTGTCAACGCTAGCGTAGTCACATGATCCCTGTCCCAACACATTCTAAGCCCCTGACATACTTGAATGAGCTGCGCTACAGCCTTGCCTCCATCTTGTCCTCCATAACTCACGACAAACACCCGTTTTCCAGCCCACTCATAATAGAGATAGTCCATAGCATTCTTGATCACCGCCGGATAGCCCCAGTTGTACTGAGGAATGACGAAGATGAAAGCACTATGTTTGAGAATTTCGATTGACCAAGCACGAGTATGTGCCTTGGCGTAATGTGGAGTTGGATTTGTTGCTGGATATTTAGAAGGTACGCCCGGCTCATCGAGAAGTGGTAGCGGATGCGAGAGCATGTCAATGAGAGACAGGTGGAGATCACTCCTGCCGAGCTTAGAGAGATGAGAGTCAAGTTCGACGATGACATGCTGCGCCATCAAATGACCGATGCGGGAGGGACGAGTGCTGCAGGTAATTATTGGAGGTAATTTTCTAGAATATAATGATAATATTCCAGTAATAGTGGAAGACTTAGTCACTTTAGCTTGAAGGACAAATCAAATATAATATAAGAATTGAATTGAAAACAAATTATAAGAGAGAGCTTGATTGAGCTGAATTTGCTTGCTTTTTCTAGGTTTTCTTTAAAGAATATCCTAAGTTTATATAATTCATAATGAAATTCTAATAGTTTCTATGCTTACAAATAAGATTGATTTAAATCGAATCTTATAGAATCATTTTATATTATAAAAGAAAAATACAATTAATTAATTTAGTTAATTTTTTAACAATCTTTTATATAATTTTATTTTATTCTATTTTATTATAAATCAATTTGATAAGAAATATAGCTATATCATAATATAATAATATAATTCTATAATATAAAATCATATTATATATATATTATTAATTCATATATAGTTTAATTAATAAGATATTAACAAATGATTTAGTATATTTATTATAGAATCTTATATATCCTTTTAATAGGTATATTAAATCAATCTTATTATATATCTTAACTTAAATTAATTCAATTCATAAATTTGATTAGTTTAGTATAAGTTAATGCTTTTGTAAGCCTATCAGCCTTCTAATCATTAATAACTATATAAATTAGGTTTAAATTCTCTGATTTAATAATATCTTTAATAAAGTAGAATCTGATTATTATATACTTATTTCTTTTATGGAATATAGAGTTCTTAATAAGGGCTAGTATAACTTGATTATCTGTATATAAAGAGAATTTACTTTATTTATACAAATTAAATTCTAATAATAGCTTTTTAATATAAATAGTTTCTTTAATAACTAGATTTATAGTAATAAATTCTAATTCAATTGTAAAAAGAGCTACTATTGGTTATAGCTTAGATTTCTAATTCATTGATTTATTTCCTAATATAAATATATATTTATTAATGAATTTATAGGTATTCAATTTTTCCTTATAGTTGATATTATAGAAGTCTTAAATGTAAAGATTCTTTATTTTATTATAATTAATTTTTCTATTTATAGTGCCTTTTAAGTATCGTAGTACTCTTTTAGTGGCTTGAATATACTCTGTATTAGGATTAAAAAAGAAACTAATTAATTTAAATATTGGAAGGATTATATTTAGTTTACTTTTGAGAGTTAGATATAATAAAGAGTCTATAATTTCTTGATATAGTTTAATATCATTATTATTAGCTTTCTTTTTATTATGAAATAGTTTTATTTTAGAATTTATTAAAATAGAAACAGAATTAGAACTCAATGTATTAAATCTAACTAATACTTTTTTAATATATTCTATTTAATATAGTTTTAGGGTATTACTAGTTCTTTTAATTTAAATGCTTAAATAATCCTTTATAGATTTTAGATCTTTTAGATTAAAATTGTTGGAATATGTGACCAACAACGTGACATTACATGTCACACTTTATCCCATATACATATGAAGTGCATAAGTAAAGGTAGTATATATATATAAATATAGTAATTCTCCCATTATATAAAAAGGGTAGATAAAAATAAACAACCTTTTTATTTATATATATTATATATATACATCTTACTAAGTCTGCCCAATACTTATTAATAATTAATTAGATTTAATTAATAAATGATAAGATTAAATCTAATAAAAGAAGATATCTTTTAAAAAAACGAATAAAATCATACTAAATTAAATTTACATACAATTTATATAAAAGAATTAGAATACTATATTCTCTATACTATCTTTTCGAATTATATATTAAGAAGAAATCTTGAATTATAATTATAATTTCTTTAGAATAATTTGATTTATATTAATTCTATTTACATCTAACGTAGTTTATTAGTGCATATATTATATCAGTACGTACACCATTTCAAAATATATCAAAATTAGATCTTTTTTAATATTCTTATTTTAATAACCAATCATTATTTTTAAAAAAAAGAATATTAAATAATTATACGAAAATAGATTCTTAGAAATTTAATTTTTATATAAATATTCCTATTAAATCTTAGAAAAAGTGAGAATTGTTATGATTTTCGTTACAAAATAGTTATTTCTATAATAACTACTTTATAAATTAAGTTTTTTTTAAAAATTAATTTGATTTTTATAATTCATATATAATTAAATATTTTATATTAAGTTTCTAGAAATTTTAATCCATAAATAAAGAAAGTGTACAGTTACACACAAACGAATTTTGTATGTAAAATGAGTGGTGCACGTACTGATATAGTGCATGTACTGATAAACTACGTTATATAAAATATATTCGATACAATATAATATTAAATATTACTATTCAATATGGTTTTTTCAATCCCTGAAATATTTCTATATAAAGTAGACCTTACATTTTAAAGAAAACAATTGAATTCAAGTAATTCTGATCTTATAAAATCCCAAATAAATGTTAATATTATTATATAAATTATCAATTTATAATTTAGATAATATAAAGAACAACAATTATAAAACGAATTTCAAGAGTAATATAAAGATTGAATTAAAACTACTTTTAAAGTTATATATTATAAAATGTTTAAATTTCTATAAATTCAACTTTTTATTTACAATTTTTAAATTTAATAATTAAAGAGTGATTTAAGTTATACTAAAGTTTTTATTGAATTTATTTCAAAAAAAGTATTAAATAAATATATAAAAGAGATTAAAAAAAGATAGAAAATTTAAAATTGAATTATTTAAATATATACAAAATAATTAGATTGAAAAGATTAATATATATATTAATATTTATTTCAAATTCATTTAATCAAATACTTATATTACACCTACAAAATCAAAATCAATCTTATTTCGAATTTCATATAATATTAGATTATATAATATTAAAAGAAGATATATTATATACATTATATACAGAATATATAACGTAGTTTATCATCTGTTACGGGAGCTGCCTCTAGGGTCACGTGGAAGTGTCTAGAGATCTCTCGAGGTGGTTTAGACTAGACTTCAAGTAGGAATTCAATAAGGTTGTAACTGGTTGCAATTCTCGTAACTATAGTAATGAAACTAATGATTGTTCTTGAGCACGAAGCTCTACACTGTAATGAAACCCATTCCTTTATATAGACCTTCGTTCTCTGTGCTCAGTCGGATCACAAATGATCCCTCTGATCCGATCAACTGGATCACTAATGATCCCTCTGATCCGGTTACCTAAGCGTCGGGGTCACGTGACGTCTATTGTGGCAGACCATCGTAACACTATCCCCTTCCTAGCTTAGCGCTTGTCCCCAAGCGTTACTTATAGTGTTTACCCCACTTCTTGTAATAATGTAATGACTGCTCTTTCATTATGTCTATCACCACTATTTCCCCTAATCATCTAACTGTTCGAAAACGTAAGGAACAAATCCTTCTTGCTCAGGCTATTGAATCTAGTGATGTCGAAATGATTCCGTGTTCGCGTTGTCGTTTGGATGGTTATCGATGTGTTAAGGATTTGTTTCGTTCCAATCACTCTCGTTGTTCTGAATACATGCATGCACGTTCTTCTTATAATGCTGAGTTTCCTTTGGCCGAGGATTGGAATCGAGAAGTTCCTCGGGAAGACGATTGGCGCGCCTTGGATCGTCAAGAGGAACGCCTTCGTTCGGAGGAAGAAGAGGCTATGGCGAAGATCCTTCGCCTTAGGAAACAACAAAAGTTGTTGCGCGAGCGGCGTCAGCGCATGGCCGACCGTGGCCTTAAATATTTGGATGAGCTTGATGCTCTGGAAGAAAAGGAAAGGCTAGAGAAAGAGCGTGTTGAGAGAGAAAAAGAAATGACGTCTGCCTCTGTTGCTGGTCCTATCGACGACTCCTTTGCTTTCGATTCTTCTTTGCCTGAGTTGTCCGAAGCGGATCTTGAGGCTTTATTGGCAGGTGTGGGTACTTCAGGTGGAATGCCCGTAGCTTTTCAGGGCAGCTGAGATCTTCCTTGAATTCCCATGTGTTTTCTGAGTGTGGGTAGTCTAACCATTTGATCAAATACTTGACCTTGTTTCTGACGTATTTGCAGTCTAGTATTGTTTCGACATCGTATATGGCGTTTGGGTTGACTGGTTCAATTTCTGTAAATGGCGCATTTGGCGCTCCTGGTGGTGCTGGTTCAAGCAAGGATATGTGGAATACTGGGTGGATATTCATTGTGTCTGGTAATTTCAATCGATAATTAACCGTTCCTATTACCTTATCAATCTTGAATGGTCCTAGTTTCCTGTGGTCGAGTTTATTGCTTGGTCTCTTAGTTTCGATGTTTCGTCGTAGCAGATAAACTTTATCCCCCTCTTTAAGCGTAGGTTCCATACTACGTTTCGTATTGTAGTACGCTGCTGTTCTGGATGATATGAATCTTAGATCGAGAGCAAGCTGCTCTTGTAAATCCTTTAATTGTTCGACTTGTATTATTGCTGATTCGGCATTAACTTCCTGTGGTATCGGTGTTTGGTATGCTTTAGGATTAACCCAAAGTTAGCGCGTGCTGGTGTAATCTTTGTGGTTTCCGTTTCCGATGTGTTATATGCGAATTGTGCCATAGGTAATAGCTCTACCCAATTGTCCTGTCGATAATTTATGTAGCATCTAAGATATGCTTCCATTGTCTGATTGGTCCTCTCTGTCTGACCATCTGTTTGTGGGTGGAAAGATGTCGATAGCTTTCTCTTGATACCCATAAGTGCTAATAAGGTAGTCCAGAATTTCGAGGTAAAGAGCTTGTCTCGATCCGAGATTATCTCATCCGGTACTCCGTGTATGCTTACTATGATCCTAAGGAATACATATGCTAGTTGCTCAGCATCCCATGTTTCCTTGAATGGTATCATATATGCAAATTTCG